GAAGAGTCGACTATAATACAGTAAACTATAAACAACGATTTGGTTCATGGCTACTTTCGAGGAAGAGATGGAGCTTCGCGTACAAAATTTTCATCTAGTATATATCGTTCCATCAATTTAAATTTAGCCATTAACAGCGCGAGAGTAGTATACAGATTTTTTGGTAAAATGGGGTGAGTGGTGGTTCGTGAAAAGTGAGTAGTAAATAGCGTCTCCTATTATTAATACTTAACCAAACCAAGCGAAAAATGTAGTGCTTAAGCTATTTATTAATAGATTTCGCATTTATCTCTTGACCATTGCGTCCCATTCTTCAATGTGAAAAGTCATTGTATTCCCAGATGTTGATGAAAATTGTTATGTATTCACAGATGAGACTTATATATTTAATTCAGCCACCCTTTCTTTAGGTAACCCAAAAAAAGATCACCTTTTTCATGCAATTGCATAGCATTCGCCAGGTACTGTTCTATGTTTGTGGCTGACATGACCTTCCCTACATCCAAATTGTCTGCCAAATAAAGTATGCAAATAAGCACGTCGACCTCAGTTTTGCCAAGCGAATTTTTTGTCTCGCAGCAAAATATATCTTTCGTTTTAGTGCAAAAAATTAGATTGATAAAGGCATGTACATGATTAATCACAACTTATGTAATTTAAATGGTCCTGTTTGTCAACTGCGGGATTTCATTTGTTGTTGCTACGTGGAAATGTGGACTACTACGTACGTTAAATGCTAAGTAATATTTGAAAATTACTTATTAATGTATTAGTAAATAAGCGCAGAAGATAAATGATGGAAAGTGTGTATCGCGCCTACCGCATTAAGTGCAAGATCGATTTGATTGGTTTAGTGCGCTCGGAGATAAATCCATTGGCACGAATTATGTAATCAAACGACTGAATGACAAAAAATGTCTGTAGAAATTATGCGAATTAGTTTACCTATCGGTCAAAAAAGAGTATAGTCAAGGATCGATGGCTGACCGACCAGGATCTGCGATCAAGAGCTTGGATCACCAAGTTACGAGGGTCAAATCGCTTAAGAGATGAACATCAATTGATGTACTGGATCGCTAACGACAATGTAGAATAGAGGAATATGGAAGCAAGCTGGGGGAGTGGATCGTCAAGATCATTAAATATACGAGGTCTCAAAAGTAACGGCGATCCGACGGTAAATGACCGATCAGAGACTCGAGAGATTGGTCACGATCCACCCTGGGTGTGAAATGCTTGATTGCGTGGACACATAATTGTGTGGACACAAAATTGATGTGGATCACATACCGCAATTTACTACCCAAGCGATCCACCCCCGATCGATCCACCACCTAGCGATCCACTATGGAGCGATCCGCCGCCCGAGTATCTGCTGTGGACCACATGATGCACGAGTTTAATTATATTGACAGGCGATACGCAACAGTGATCTAGCGAACAGATAGGCATAGTTATAGGTTTTGAATTTGATTGGTTGACATTAGACAGAATTGAATTTGCAGCGAAAGGCACTCGTCGACTTCTCCTGAGCAGAAAAGTTGGCCTCCCATTAAATAGAGAGCGACCTGTGTCTATACAAACTTCGCCTTTGAATTTTTCGGCCAGGCGTAACATCCTTTCTCACCCCCCCCCAATTGCGATCGGATGCAGGGAACCTAACGGTTCAGATTCAAGATCGCGAGTTGGCTCTAGCGGTCAGAAGGCTCGCGGTAAAGCATCACCTTTGGATACAGGTGACTCTGGGGGAGCGCCCAAGTGTACTTGCGATCGAGTGAAGAATTTCCACTCGATCCACCCCATGTTTGACCGGGTGAAGAATTTCCGCCCAATCAACCCCTATCCCCAAAACGGTCAAGTTCAGCTTCAGCTCAAGTCCACCAAGAAGAGCGCAACCCGCACCACCGACGGACACACAAGGGGAGCAAGAAGACACAGAGCACGGAATCAGGGAACCCCGTCCGTTGGTCGGCCGTCCAGGCGCCAGTGGAGAGTCGGGACCACAGGTAATTTGTGATTACCACTCCACCACATATCCCCGTGCGGAAATAGTAGTAGTAGTAGTAGTAGTAGTAGTAGTAGTAGTAGTAGTAGTAGTAGTAGTAGTAGTAGTAGTAGTAGTAGTAGTAGTAGTAGTAGTAGTAGTAGTAGTAGTAGTAGTAGTAGTAGTAGTAGTAGTAGTAGTAGTAGTAGTAGTAGTAGTAGTAGTAGTAGTAGTAGTAGTAGTAGTAGTAGTAGTAGTAGTAGTAGTAGTAGTAGTAGTAGTAGTAGTAGTAGTAGTAGTAGTAGTAGTTAATGTAGCGGAGTTATTATTAACTACTTGCCATAGGGAGGTTTTACGCTCAAGGAGCAATTAGTTTGTTATACGAACAGCGAATCTATGAGTCGACACGTTTTAACAACAGCGAATCTACGAGTCGACACGTTTTAACAACAGCGAATCTACGAGTCTTGTAGTTTTAAAAGAACGACTGAACGAGTCGACACAGATTAGTGAGCTACTAGATCTCGGTCAAGGGACTCATCTGATTCAATAAATTCACAGCATAATCTGCAAGAGGGTTAATGACTTAACAAAGCTTGCAAACCCTCAAGCACGAACAAAGATGCATTAGGATGGCACGTATGTAACGGGGTTACACGTCGACTGGTATTCGACAATAGGTGTGGTGCACACAAGGGATGGGATCCCCTTTAAAGTGATATTAGACCACAGTATCAATTGTTGAAGACTGATGTCTGTCAACCATTGATTACGAGATCTTTTGAGAGGTTTTATTTAGGACATTAGCGAGTAGATTAATAACGTTGTTCTAAGGTGTTCTTTTAGGTTAAAAGAAGAAATAAAGTTCAGTTCCCATTTTGATCCGATAGACACGTGCCTCTTTGAGGCGTCTTGTGATCGTTCAAGGAGTCTAGCAACGCCTTGTTAAGGCAACTACTCCTAGTGCACTATGTGCTGTGATTCTCTGAATCGTTTGGTCCTCTGGAACAGGAAACGTAAGCTCTATGAGCTTGTTGACTCTTTAAGTCGATTTGTCTGAACTAAACCTTAAGCTCTCTGAGCTGTTGACTCTCTGAGTGGGGTTTATTGAGGCTCAAGTTGCTCGTTGAGCGTTAAAGTCTTCCACTGACTTAAGGAGCTGTGTAGCTCTGCTACAACGTGTCTTTATCTGATCAAAAGGAGATCTGGTGGATATTTACTTCTTAATACGCAGAAGCTACCCCCCTTGATTTCCAGATGAAAAGGTTTACTTTCTACCAAAGTATAACCTGAAACGTGTATTTCACAATTGAAACGACACTGATTTATGTGGTTGGTACACCACACGGTACACGTACCTACACCGTGGTGTACCACAATCGTGTACCACCATTCCAGTTGGTATCTTCTATCGAAGACGGTCAGAGGAACGAAATGCCAAACAGGTGTGCGTGTGTATGAATGACAGTACAACTGATTTACTTACACATCGCCAACATGTTCTACAAAGAATGTATTGTTTGTAAGACAAAATGCTCATCACTAATTGACTCTGACAGTCTGCACAAAACAAACATCAAAGAATCCTGTTTTCACCTTGACAAACCCTGTGGTAATATTTCTTTGTTGTTAGAGCATTCAGCAAGGTGTACAGGGAAGTGCGGTCTTGCAATTGTCTATTGCGACGCTTCTAATAACAGTTTGGATCATGCCAAGCTTTCGTTATACAGCTCAAACTATTGCTAAACAGAGTCTGGTGTAGCGTAAAATTGACGTGTTCATAGGCGTGTTTGCGCACCCAATCTCCTCTCGATCGACGTTGCATGTGCTGGCGCTGTGGATAAGACAGGTGTCCCTCCCATGACACTGCTGCAAGATCTGCTGTGCACTTGTAATTGTGATCTACGCACACCGGCTCAGTCTGTTAGCAGTGTTTCACTCTTCTATTGCGTGTGATGCACCATCGATACACGTGGACACGGATGTTTGTGCGGCAAGCACAAAAGAACCGACATATGTATGTCGTCGTGAATACACCCACGCCAAAGCAGTTCTCATCGATCTACCAACTTCACTTTGCAACGTTTTGACACAACTTCTGTTGAAAAGGCAAAGAGGTTGGAATCAGGAACGTTATAGCAGAATGGTTTCGGCTAAGCATTAAGGTAAAAGAGGGACATTAAGACTTGGTCTAAAAAACGGACGAAGAGTCTTGCCAAGTGTTTGTCCGAACGCTGTCAACCAATCAATGATGCGTGTTTTATGACTACCATTACGACAGGTGTTGAAATCGTCAAAATTTTAACACTCAGTTACCCGCTTGTCTTCTGCAGCACAAAATGGAGAGTGAATCATCGTTTAGCTTTCACTGTCGGTCTCACCTACTTGTTGTAGTACTTTGAACATGTATATATACTAGCTTCTAGATCTCCGTATCGGGAAGTTCCTACAAGTGCAACCTTGGTGTCCCGACCATCTGTGATAACATTGTCGTCCGCCAGTTGAACCTGCATTGTCCCAACGCGCATATTCCCACTCGACGTAGGCCGATGCTGAACGCAGCACCAACTTGTTAACATAAGTGGGTGTGCGGACATCAATTCCCTACAATTATTGCTACGATATCTCGTAATGCAGACACGACTTTTAAACAAGAATACATTTCTACTTGCGAACAGATGATGGTGGCATTCCAATATCTAAACCCTTTATTCCTTGTATATTCACAGTCGTCTGAAGCGATCGTCATTGATGTTGCATCCAACACTATGCAGCTTACGTATCCGTAGTGTGTAGCCGCATCACGGAAACAAAAGCTGCATAACTTTCTCTATATCCTTCTTCTTCTTCTCACACAAGCACGTACCTGCTAACTGGTAACAATCGACACAGCCGTACTCACAAATGTCCACCTTTGCCGTCTTTCTTGTGCTTCCAGTGCACGTCCGAAGCTCACAGACTCCTTTTCGCACGTACCCACCCAGCACTGCCTGCTGTCCCCATCACATCCACCAGATTATTCGTCCTTCTTGAACATTTTCTTAAACATGCCTCCTAGTCGCGATTTCCGATGACCATCTTCCGCGCTGAGGCTGTTGCGATGAAGGCTTCCGCGGTCAGGAGGACTCATACACTCTATGTGGGGTGGTGGCACTGATTCATTCATGATCGTATCGAGGGTGGCGCGACGCTCGATGCGGGACGTGTGCGAGTTCTGAGACGCGGACAGAGGCATGGACCCGATCGAAGTTGTCGCGTCCGACCGCTTTTCGTGGTATTCACTCACCTTAGCCACATTGCTGGCGATCCTGAGAACAGCAACGCAATTTAGCTGAGAACGCACAACCACAGGTAAACGACATCGGAAGAGCAATTGACTTACGAGGAACGGCGAATGTCGTTGCTGCCACTACGCTGGCCGTTGTCAAGCGAGGGCTTTGTGTCCACGGCCATCGATCGCATGCGCTCCAATAGGTCCTGCGAAGTGCCACCGGACTTTGCGAGGTTGATGATCTCGATGATCACGTCTTGCTGCTGCACACGGGCTTTCAGCTCTGCAGAATACACAGAGCGTTGCATCAACAGATCTTCCTTCAACTCGGCTACCTGTTTCTTGTACCGCTTCATCTTTTCCTCCTGAGACTTTATCAGAGCAGCATGTGTACTCATGAGTCGCAGATTTGCTTTTGACTGGCGCTTATTGTGCTGATTCAGCGCAGCAAATGATGCACCAGCAGCTGTATACGCATCCTTGATTTTCTTGTTCTCAGCCTTCAGGTTTTCATTCTCGTGGGACAACGTCTGAACAAGCTCACGGCCCTTTGTGACTTCCTTTCGAAGGTAGTCAATCATGCGCGTAGAATCGTCGAGCAGTTTGTTATCATCCATCGACTCTCGGTCGATTTTCCCGGACCGGGCGCTGCTTTGATAGGCGTGCGGCGCTTCACCCTCACAAGCGCTGCTGCTGCCACTAAGCCCAGAAGAATTCCGAACCTCCTTCAGCTTTTGCTGCAACGACGAGTTCTCCGCTTCAATTTCCAGGCGAGCACGCTTTTCGTCCTCGAGACGGTGCTTCAACAGATCTACCTCAGTCTCCATCGCATCGTGTTCCTTCCGTTCAGACAGAAGCTTGCGATACTTGTTGACTTGTTTCCTCATCTTCAGCAGGCACTGAATCTTGATGGTGGCATTGCGAAGCTTCGTATATCTCTGCTCCGCGAGATGCTTGCGATACGCACTTTGGATCCTGACTGCGCTATTTTCCTTCATCAACAGATACACACGCTGCCGCGAGCGCACACCGCGCCACACGCTCTGCACAATCACACTCTTTCTCCGCTTCTCAAGAAACGCACGACGCTGCACCTGGCAGCGATAACTTGCCTGGAGTTTAGTAATCATAGCGCGAACCTTTTTGACTCTTCGTTGTGCCAACCATCGACGCGCGTTTTGCTGAATCACGACTGCTCGATCGTGTACAAACGTCGTGCGTCTGTGCTCCAGAAACTCCAGCACATCCTTGCCAAAAAAGACCAGGCTTTTTCCGACGACGAAATCAGGAGTCGTGGATTCTTCATTGTCTTTGTGCTTTCGAACGAAATCCTCACCACGAAGCAATTCCTTAGCAAGCACTTCACATGCCTCAGTAACAGTTGTGGACACTGAAGCAGGCGTTTTCGTGTTTCTCATCATCACAAAACGGCGGAGAAACTTTTCATGTGCCATCTTGTTCGGGAATGCCGCGCGTGTAATGCGAATGGCTTCCACGACACCTGCGCAGCGAAGCTGGTTCACGACCGAATCAATTTCATAGATGTCGGGGCTCTTTTGCGAATTGGGTTTTATGCAGCGCACGTAGTGCACCTCAGTGCTCGAGATGTCGCTCATTAGTAGCGACAGTTGTGCCTTGAACTTGTAGCTTACAGTCTCTTGCATGAAAGTAGACGTCTTCCGACTGACTGTACCACGCCGTCCTGTTTCCATCATTGTTGCAGTATGCATAGCCAACTCGGAGTCGGCAAGAAATGGCGCGCTATCGTCGTCACCGAATACCATCGACATCAATCCGTTCGAGCTCGTGCCCAATAGCTCAAGCAAATCCGTCTGGAGCGAGTCTTTGTTCTTTTCGACAAAGCCTTTTGCGTCGTACGTCACAGGACTCGCATAGTGATGAAGCAAAAAGTGCATTTGGCTTAGACGAGCTCGTTCGAGGCGCGGATGCGACTCACGCAACGACACCAGCTTGGACACAAACGACAGATCGCTGCCCATCGGACGAACACACTCTTCATTCAAGAGCGCCAAGACGCCCATCGAGTTCTCCAACAGGTCGAGCATGTCCTGATTGTCTCGGTACTTGACAAACTCCCACGCCACGCCCTCTTGCTCGTACTCTTCCTGCACGGTCTTGAATACGTCCATTGTGAACTTTTGCTGCAGCTTCTCGTTGGCAAAGTTGATGCAAAACTGCTCAAAACTATTGTGGCCAAACGACTCAAAGCCAAAAATGTCCAGCAAATCAATGTGCAAGTACGACGGCGTGAACGCTGTCGCGTTCGAAATGCTGTGGTTCACGCGACGTACCAAGTAGCCAAACACGCGCGCGTAAATCTCTTTTGCCAGCGCGTCGCGATTGTTGCCAGCCTGGTGCGCCGACAGCGGCACGCAGTACACTTCCTGTCGTGCTTTGACCGTGCGACTGCAAAGCTGCGCGCCCAGCGCGGCCATGTCCACACCCAAGAGCGTCGCACACTGCTCCATCTCCATCTTCTGCTGCTCAATCTGCTTGTCCGTGACCGCGGCCGACGACGCAGCAAACGCGACCGCTTGACTCGCGTCGTCCTTGTTCGAGTCGAGCGGGACAAAGTCAAGCTGCCCGAGGCGCAGGATCCCGCACAGCGCGCTAAACAGGTCCGTCTGCTCCGTGGCGCTCACGCCAATCGTCGTGAGCGCGTCCCGCGTCACTTGGTACCGCTCGACGTCTGTCATGCCGTCGACCGTGAGCGGCTCGTCCTGCAAGAACCGGAACGCCGCGGCCGACGTGCGCGCGTCAAAGCCCAACGCCGTCTCGCGCGCGCTCACCAACTGGTAGAAAATGTGGTAATTCCGCTCGCCAGGCGCCTGCGCCACGACGCGCGACTTTTCCAGCAGATAGTGTCGGCACTCGGCGCCCACGAGACACGCGTCGCTGTTGAACTGGAGCTGCGTGAACTTGCCAAAGCGACTCGAGTTGTCGTTGCGCGTGGTCTTTGCGTTACCAAACGCCTCGAGCAGCGGATTGCTCTTGAGCACTTTGTCGACCACAAGCGCTTCGCTGCGCGCGCGGGGCGGCAGGCGCTTGGCGGTCGCCATCGAGATGCTCGCGAGGTGCTCCATGAGGATCTTGACCGTCTCGGTCTTCCCCGCGCCCGACTCGCCGCTCACGAGGATGCTCTGCGGCAGCCGGTGCTGCTGCATGTGGCGGAAGGCCTCGGCGCTCGTCGCGTACACGTGCGGCGGCATGGCGTCCCACGGGCGCGCCGTGTAGAGGTCGCGGAGCTCGCGCGAGTAGAGCGCTTTGAGCCACTGGTACGGGTTCAGCGCCACGACGATCTTGCCCGTGTACGTGTACGGCTCGTGCGCAAAGAAGCGCGCGCGCACGTTGTAGACGATCGCGGGCTCGTGCAGGTGGCCGAGCGCGCACATGTCTTCGGCGCCCGTTGCGTCGGCGCGGAGGTTCTGGAGCGGCAGCGAGTCGGGCATACCGTCGTCCGTGAGGTCGATCGTGCGCTCGTCAAGGGGCGCGTCCGCGTCGTCGTCGTCGTTGCCGTCGAGACGCGGCGGCTGTACGCGGACGCGGAAGACGTTGCCGCAGTCCGTGACGGACACGACCGTCGCTGGGACCCATACAAACTTCTCGTCGGGAACGTACACGCGCGCGCCTTCCATACTGCGCACAGAGAGTGATGGTCCGAGAAAGTGCACGTTGCCGCACGTCGAGCAGCGCGCGGAGGGGGGGGGGGTTTCCCTGGGGTTGGGGCTGGCAAGGGAAATTAACAACAACGAGTTGCGGTGGAAAAAAACAGGGGGCGCGCGCACGCGCGTTCAGTGGACGAGCATCGACTTTGACAGGGACCGAGCGCGCATCTGAGTTGACGCACCGAGCGCTTTGCGAGTAGAAAAGAGACGCGCGTGACGACGGGGGTGTGGAGATGGCTACACTGAAGATGGCTACACTGAAGATGGCTACAGTGATACGGCAACACGTGAGCTGGTTGTTGCTCGGCACCTGCACATCGGTCTATCGCTTCAGCGACCGGACGTGCACCCACTGCGCAAAGCTGCAGCTGAGTAGTAGGAGATGCGCAGGTTCGAATGATATAACAGTCACTGCAAACGTAAGGTGCGGTGCCACTTCCCACATGGAGCTACTCGGCTCGAAAGTAGGAGGCAGTGCATGAGAAATCCACACACCGAACGGATGACACCGAACATGGCGTGCTGAATAAAGCGTGACCACCATCAGTTGGGTGCACTCGCTGCGCTGCAAGTGTCACACTGTGCTATCTCGTGCAAGCCATCTGACCCAAAGGGCGAACTCAACTCACAGTGCGTCTGGTACAACCTTTGCCATCAGATGCAGCCTTTGAGATGCTTCGATCAAGTACGCTTTCCAGTCTTTCCGCAGATGTGCTCGTGTGTGTCGAGTCAATAAATAATCTCTCGAGGTTTTGTACCTACTTCTCGGATCAATTGACGGAATCAGGTGGTGTAGCGGAATGTCTCACAGATCGAGGAGCTCCGTGGCGTAATACAACTGGATTTTATCCTGCCAGTCTGACAGGCAGGCAGCACTCATTGGCAGATGCCCACCTGCCAATGCGTGGACCGTACCACAGCAAGACGAGGAAAGCCATTCATTGCAGCTTACGGTCTGCGAACGCATGGACGACGAGCATTTGCGCGCCATTGATGTAGCAACTGGTGGCACCGAAGCGCCAACTGCAAACTAAAACGAACAAGAGATGCCCGCACTGACATGACGCGAACAGAGGTTCGAAAGAGCGAGACATCAGGTGCAGGTCGCCATGATGGGGCTTCAATGAGAGGAGCATTCGAGCGGGTACGAGTTGCAACTCGAACAGATTGCGGACGCCACGTCCACGGCGTTGCTCGATGACCATTTTTGCACCAGATATCTTGTACAGGCAGCAAAAAGTATCCAGTCGAGACGAGAACATTTAAAACCAAGTGCAGGAGATTCGCGTGTCTATGGGTACCGAAAAAAACGGCTCATGAAGAGAGGAAGCAGTTGAACGTCCGTCCCCTTATCAACTGCCGTAGTTTTGATGGATTTTCCAAGCTTCAACATCGCTTTCGACAAACTTGAAGTTAGCGACGTAAAATACATCAATGAACCTGCACATCTCATTACGTGATTGAAGCAAAAGCATCACGACATTTAATTTTGATCGGTGCAAAAGTTTTGCGCTCAGGTTTGTCAATCAGCTGTATCGGCCTTTTGACAACTCGGTCATCTGCATTTCGTCGGATGGGTACACAACTACAAGTGCACGTGCCCAGTCATTTCGCACGACTACACATGTCGAGAAATGTACCCCTTTTTTTCTACATATGGGCACACTGGCGTTCCATTTCTCCGTTAAGTTGCCATGTCAACTCTCGAGCCAAAAGACGCATAATAAGCACTTGCATCAATTCGACTAACGGCTGTTCTTCTTCCTCTCCACACAACGGACACCTGACCTCTTGACACACACATTTATATATGCCCAGCGCACTTCTGCGACGTGCGCCGATCACTACTTATACCCCACTCGATCCTCAATCCAATTTACATTACAAACACACAGACTGACACACATACACACACACACGAGCACTTGTGTAAACCAAACAACGACCTGTTATACGACACAACGATCAATACTCGACGATCCGTGTCGACTGGTTACTAGCAGTGCTATTGCGACGATACTTTTGTGCTCGTCGCTTCCGCTCGCGCTGCTCTTCTTCGGGGTTCAGCGTCGGCACGCCGTACTCGCAGAGCGAGACGTACGACGAGCCGCGATCTCGGATGGCACAGGGCGCGACGCTCAGAAACTTGCGCATGGCGAACGACTCGCGCAGGAACGTCATGCGTTGCACGGCCTGCAAGAGCTCTTGGAAGCGGTCGCATCGCGACTGCACGTGCGATCGGTCGTGTCGTTTCCAGTACGTGAGGAACCCCGCGTGGGGCAACGGCGGCAACGCGAACGCCATGATCGACTGCTCGAGCAGCTCCTCCTGCATCGTCGTCGTCGTCATCGACCGCCCAGACCTTCTTGTCGCGCGTGGCGCGTCCGTTGATGTGGCCGACGGCATTCCTCGTGCCAGACGCGAACTGGCTCGATTGCGGTAATAAGATTGCCGGTTCGCGAGAATGTCGCATAGCTGCGTGTAGAGCTCTTTAAAGTCCGAGTAGCTCCGCCGGATGGTATAGGTTTGCAACGGCGCGTCGTGGTCGACCACGTCAATGTGGTACAGCACGCGCTTCTCGCGCCCGCGCATGGAAAAGCCCGAGACCACGAGGTCTGCGGTCGCGCTCTCGGCCGACGCGGTCGTCGACTCGCGGGGACTCGACGCACCCACTTCCTCGTCTCGACTCTGTGTCAACTGGAGCTCCTGCGGCTGGTGGTGGTGGTGGCGCGTGGGACGGCACGGGCGACTCGGGCGCCCGACCCACGAGCGCGAGTTCGCTGAGCTCGAGCTCGTCGTCGAGGCAGCAGATCGTGGCATTCGACGACGGCTCGTGCGGGAGGCCGTCGTCTCGCACGTCGTCTTCGTCCAGCGGTTGGGGCTTATCGTCCGTCTCGCAGACGGCATTGAGCGTCGCGTGGAGGACGTCAAGAGAGCTGAGGGAGTCCACGTGAGTGAGTGTGGCGGTGGTTCGTTTGAAAGGGGACGCAGAGCGTGAGGACGACGACGAGGGCGAAGAGGAGGACGAAGGGGACGAAGACGGGGGGTGTTTCAGGGCTGCAAAGTACCAGTCGGGCAAGTGCTCGACCGCTGCTTCGAGCTGCTGGCCCCGGGAGATGGAAATGGCCTCAGTCATGACGGACACGAGGCAAATAGCGTTGTGAGTTCTGACTTGAGTCTACAGGGAACAGCAGCGCGAGGCAGCTGGCGAGGGAAGCTGCACATCCCCCCGTCTTTAAGCTTGTTAAACCCCGTTTCAAGAACGGGCGTCTCTGTGTGGGGGCAGGCGGGGGAGGGAGGCCAAACGAGCGGCCTAAACCGTCGCCTTTTCATTTGGTTTCAGTAGCAAAAGGGGACTGACTGCTTGGACGGCGGCCGAGCCAGAGCGGTTTTTAGTAGGCCCGACGCCGAAAAGGAGGCGCATTATTATCAGTATTATCAGTATTCCCATGATCATTAGCCTTGTTTTTTTATTCCAACTTCTTTCATGGCGCTGGTCAAGTCGCTCATTTCCAGCGACGCTTCGCTTCCGCTTGCCCGCCAGCTGTTTGCACGACCACTTTGTGGCGTATCTATCGATAAAAAGATGGGGCTATACGGACGTCGGCAGAGTGCTGGCACGCTACAAGCGCTCGACGACCATTTATTGTTGACTCTGTTGATCGTTTAATGGCCTCTGTGTGGTCCCCTGTCAACTAACGGCACGGTCCGCTTCCCTCCACGGCCTTCACATCGCCTTTTCAATACGACGTGACCATGTCACGTGGTTTACGTTTCTACGCTTCTTTGGTACACCGCTGCCACGAGCCTCTGCCGTTGCGCATAGTGATAACAAGAGGAAAAGAACGGTCGAGTGGCCCTGAGCGACGTCCTGATTGCATCATACCCGGCGGCATCTATTCCAGGCATACCGACCGATCTTTCGAAAATTCGAACCAAACGCCGCGCGCGAGAGAGAGAGAGAGAGAGAGAGAGCGAGAGCGAGAGAGTATGCGGAGGACGAAGGACACGACTGCTCTCGATTATCCGTGGATTTTTCGCGGTGTGGCTAGTTTATGCTTGACCCGCTAGTGGTTGGCAAAGCGCGAGGAAGCGAGCGCTGTGGGGAACGAGTCGGTGGCGGGGAAGGCAGAATGAGCTCATGGAAACACTGGTATCTGATCACACTGACAACATGTCCGCCGACGATTGCAGACCGAGGATCGGAGCAGCGAACGAGTGCGATGGCGCTAGTTGGACGTGTGTGAATCATCTTTGGCTGAAGGCAATGACGCGCGTCAATGCACTGGCAACGAATGTGGCGTTTTACGCTCCAGAAGAACCCGTCCCCCACGCACACTCACGAAACGCTGCGTCTGTCTCAACTCTCGTCTTACCGGTTCCTATCTGAGCACAAGACCTGACGCAGCTCGTCCACTTCTTTGCCAGCCCTTTTGTCGCTCCTTTGTTACAAGTCGGCACGAGATATGGACGGAGCGAGTCCGTACCTCGACGTCTGCTCGGCTGGCGCCACTTCTGCAAATTTTGGGCAGCTTTCACGTTCGCGCGTCTCATGCTTTCGAGCTGTCTGTCCATCTATCTATCTATCTGTCTATCTATCTATCTGTCTGTCTATCTATCTATCTGTCTGTCTGTTTGGCCGTCGCGCTGTCACGTTCTCCCACTACTGCAACGCGCCCGAGCGACTCGTTCTTTGCCACGGCAACGACTCAGTCGTCTCACCCTCCGACCAACAAAAGAGGCACTAGCGCGATCGTCGAGAACTTGGCGTCGCACCCGACTCGTTCGTACCGAAGAACAAACGATGGACTGGTCACCAGATATCAGCAGCGACACCGTGAAAAAAAAACGGAGGAGTGCCCTCTTTACGCACGCGATTCACTTGAGGCAGACGGGTCGAATGCGAACGAGTGTGCGTGATGTCGTGGCCAGATCGTTTCTGCGAGGCGACGATCGAGCAGCTCCACCGCGCCGCAGAGCTGCCTCCCGACTGGCCTCGGTGCCACTGCTTTTGCCCGTTTCGCATGGGTTTTCAGTGTGCGACGGACGGACGGACGGACCGACTTGGCCCAGCGCGACATGTCAAGCCATGCTGCTTGACTTGTGCCGCACGTGCAAGCTGTCGCATGCACTGACTCCCTGATGTGCCTCATCAAGCGTTTCTTGTCAGCAACAGCAGCAGGAAAGCAGATACAGCGGCACAAGTCGTTCGCCCAGCCACAGATGCGCACGTCGAGACTTTCGACGGCTCTAGTGTCCGGAAACGGCCGCTCTACAGCGTTTGATGACTCTGTCGCTAGCGCCTGCAACGGAGCCGCGTTCGCTTTTTTCCCACGACATATTGCAGACGACGACAAGGCACTTACAATCCTTTGCACGCTACAGAATATCCAGGAAACGACCAGTCGATGAGGTGGTCGGTCTCCTTTGGATCGTAGACGACGACGACAAACGATGCCAAGCGATGCGAGAGCGCTAGCGACCAAGCAGTGAAATATTGCAACGTAGAGATCGACACGGGTGGGCTCCATCAGCCGTATGACATTCCTTTCGAGGTCATACGGGGCGGCCAGTGCTCCGCACCTGCTAAATTGGCAAACCCATCTGCACACCGGATCGACAAGTATCGTAAACTTGCAGTTGGTGGGCCTACTGCTGATACTAATCCCCTTTCAAGCTCGGAAAGAGAACGGACGAGAAAAAGAGAGCCAGAGCGTCGGTGCACGTCGTGCATGGGAGCCACCCATTCCGCTACAAGTTTACGTCGGACGAGCGACCAACAGTTGTGAGCGACCAGACGTCTTGATGCCGTCACGAGTCGTTCAAATTTTCGACCGTGTCAACGTCGTGGGGGGGGGGACCGGCAACATCGATGGATACAGATGTCTGTCTTCCTGCGTGTCATCGTGGCCATGCGATCGTATGAATGGAAGGATGTACGTGGAGTACAGTATCTTTTGAACATGGCGTACTGTTGTGCAGCTACCGCGTGCAAACATTTTGTCCTACGCTTCGACGACGACGACGACGACAACGAGCTGCGACTTGAGGTCACACAGCCCACACAGCTCTGGACAGTGTTTATAACTCGACAGCGTGTGGGTCTGCATCAAGTCCGCGCGCGCGAAACGGAACAGCTTCCGACCGACGACGTCGTTTGCGAGATGGTCTATGCACCGCTCGGGGTGATCCATGTTACAGACAATCTCGGGCGAGAGGTAAAAGCTGGGTGCATGGCCACATCTCTGTGCTGCTCGTCCCGCGATAGGCGTGTCCAAAATTTGCGAGCTGTTCTGTACGGATGTGTCGGCGTTCGGTAACGTTTGTGTGCGGGTCCGATCGGTGCGCGCCGAGGGCTGAAAAAAGGAGATCGACAGTCGCTGTGTGCGTAGGCACGTCGCAGTAAGCCGTCGACGCGATGGCAGGTGGCATTTTCGCTGCTGTCCAGTGCCAACTGAACTGAACTCACGAATAAAGTGGATCGGTGAAGACGTCATAGCGATGGACTGAGAGAGAAGAGAGCGAGAGCGTGCGATTGAATGCGAGCGCAGTCGACGGCACTGTTCGCTTCTCTTTCAGCACGCGCTCTTGCGTCAAACGTGATCGAACGCTCTTTGCTTCGTGTCAACAGCACCTTCAGCTTCTGTCGCGTCTACACTATGGACAATGCCATCTGCGCTTGTTGCTTCCTCGACGGTCGTCGATGTCCCAAAAGCCCAACCTCTGACCGATCGTTGCCGCATGCGTTGCTCACCTTGCGACACTGTGCTCATGTTTACGTTCAGTGTGTGTTATGCAGTGCACTCACGTGACAGCTGTGCATGTCAGAGACTGCAGTGTTTCTCACGCGATGCTGTCTCACGAATGTGGGCGGCCACGACCTGCATCTTGAGCTGTGAGAAGCCCTTCATCGGCTCCAGCTCTTCTTGCGCGACAGGACGTTTGCCCCCTGTTCCGACCCGACGAGCGGACCGCTGCCGTCATCACGTGCTGCATCTCCGTCGTCATCGTTTGATATTCCTCCTACGACCTCAAGTTACCTCTTCTAGTGACCAATCGGTCCGTGCGCTGGATGTAATTCATCACGAGTGACGACGCTCAGTGCTCGAACCTCTTTATTGCAGTCTTGTCGCGGATTGCGATCGAATAGCAATTGTCGACAATCCATCGGCCGTCAGCAGTCTGCCTTCGTTGTTCTCTCTCCTTCTCTCCTTCTTGTGGCTCTTTTGCGCTCATACCGTCGTGTCGAGAAGGTGGACAACGTGTCAGCGTCGCGTTGATAGCTGCCACGAGGTCACTAAACGGGCCATCGCCCAGTTCAGTCCTCCTGCGAGTAGCTACGAACCGATGCGATGAGGACAATCGCTTGCTGCTGACAGCGAACATCGACCACAAGTTTCTCTCTTTCTATCTATCAGCAGTGCAGTCGATCGATATCGCTAAACGGCACCGGATCCGACGCCACTCGACGCCGTAAAGAGAGTAGCGGCCATGAGATGTATCAAGAGCTAAACAAACGGCGTATGACGTCACTACCCGTTCAAGTAATCGATAAAAACGGAGCAAAGAGTGCTGTAGGAACGCCGTAGCTGGCAGACGCAACGATGGGCTCTGCTCGAGCGTCGAGTGGCCGTCGAGCCACCAAAAGAAAAACGACAGTGGACGTCCGAGAGCAGAGACGTGTGACGACGTCCAGCGCCATGTCGACGGTCAGCAGTCCGCCCCCTTCCCCCCCCAGCGCTTCTTCTCTCAAAACAGCCACTCGACCACTTTTTCCATAGCAAACCCCATCGCCTGTCCCCTGTCCGCCACACACACACACAAAAGCACTCGAGTCAGTCGTCTCCAGCTGTTTCACACCTGATGGTGGTCACGGACCTGAGTTCCCCTACTGCATGTCGAAGAGAGACACGGACGGACGCGGGAGAGAGAGAGGGAGCGCGCGCGCCTTCTGCCCCTTAACAACGACCGCCACCGTCGACAGTCCGCGCCAAAAAGACGCGTGCAATGCAAACTTCAGCTTCGGCCACAACGCGCTCTGTGCCAGTCATTTCGCGCCGCCACTTGCTCTCCACTCCTTCAAAACGTTCAGTCGCCGACCCACTCCACTGACGGCACAGTCCATTGACAAAGCCGAAAAGCCGCCGACGGCCCGCGACGGCCATCGTAGGCAAACTGCACGTTAAAAAAACATTCGCTTTCCCGCACACGCGCGTCGATTTGCCCGTGCGCCAGCTGCTTCTCCATCCACTTCGGCAGTCGCTCGCCGCTGTCGGACGTCCTTCGCCCATTTGCCCATTTGCCCGCTGCGCTTCACTCCACTCCGCTCCGCTCGTCCCCATGCGCATTGTCGCGCCCACGCCAGCGCCTCCTTCGCCCTCTCCGTCCTCCACTCCCTTCTACGGCTTTCGCTACAGCGAACCCGTCATCTTTGACCACGTGAGCTCCTCATCTCACCAGCACTTGCCGGCCACTGCCAAACGCAATAGCCTCGCGGCACTCGACCACCTGCACGCCACCAAAGGCAGCAGCAACAACAACAGCACCGCTGCAGCTGCTGACCTCTACCTGCGCCACGACAGCAGCTGCACGAGCGAAACGAGCGGCTTCGATGGCGTCAACCTCTGGAACGTCGACGAAGAGCTCGAGGCAGCGCCGACGCCGACGGCCGCCTTCCACCCGTCGTACCAGGGCGTGGCCATTGCCGTGACCCACCACTCGGTCAACAACCAGGGCGTTGTCATGTACCACGTCGACATCAAAGGCCCCGACGGGTTCCTCTCGACGTACACGATCCGCCGGCGCTTCCGGGCGTTCAAGAACCTCTACACAGAGCTCCACCGCCTCGTCATCGCCTACCAGCAGCAGCAAACAGCGCACCGCAAGGCCGTTGAAGCTGCGCAGCAGACGACTGCCGCCGCGTTGTCGCTCGACCGCCACATCCCACTGAGTCCCCACAGTGCGTTCGCGGCCGCCAAAAGTGGTCCGCCCGTGTCGTCGACCAACTACAGCGCCGTGACGTTCCCCGCGCTGCCCAGTGCCGGCGTCTGGAGCTTCTTCAAGCGCCACGACGTGCGCCTCGTCGAGCAGCGCAAACTGCGCTTCCAAGAGATCCTCACGCTCGCGATCCGCCACCCCGCGACGCGGAACAGCACTGTGCTCGACGCGTTCCTCAGCGTCGCACCCAGTGAGATCTCGCAGCGCGGCTCGTCCTACGTGTCGCTGCAGGACTACAGCGTCCCGGCGTTCGACCAGCACCGCGAGTCCATTGAGCGGCGGCAGCGGAAGATGCAGTTGCTCCACGTGCGGCGACTGCGCGCGGGCTCCGACAGCCAATTCAGCGACCGCACTCTGCAATAGGTAGAACCGCTGCTGCCCGTAATGAACCGTGACCCCCATCCACCATCACTTCCTTCACACCACTCCGCCAAACGGGTACGACCTTCTGGACACTACACACACCTGCACACGTGTGTGTGTGTCTGTGTCTGTGTAGGTGTGTCGCATTCGCTGTGTCGTATTCGTTGTGTCGTCTCTAGAACTGCGACCGCAGTCCTCCTTTGCTCTTGCCAATGTGCACGGGCAGCGTCGGCCTCGTTGGCAAACGCGACCGCAGCGGTTTGCGGAACAGGATGCGGTGCTCCGAACTCAATGCAGAAGTCGCTTCCGGTCCAGTCAACTTGAGCTTCTTCTTCGTCTTCGTTGGGACTGCTGCAGATGACGATGCGGAGGGCAGACCCACTGCACCGGAACTGCCCGAGACGGCGCAGCTCACGTCTTTCGTGCGGTAAAAGTCCGGCGAGAGGTCCACGAGCCAACGCGGATCGATCTTCGACACGTCGCGGACAAACTCTTCGGTCGTCAGGACGCTCTGGTGGAACACAATGTACTCGGGCGGTGGTGTCTTCAGGTGGTAGTACACGGACGTCGGGTGCAGCTGCACCGGTCGCTGGTCCCGCAGAGTTCGGTAGACGCCGTCTGCGTGCAATTGCGCAGCATTGGCAAAGTATCCGCTGACTAAACACTTGCGGATCGTTGCACTGCACGTCTTCGCTAGTGCTTCGTCAGTGTTTTGGCTGCGGTCGAGTCGCACGTGACGGTCTTCGTCAGTGTTCATGTCGCTCACTGCTGCTGTTTGATGTGCGTCCAGTGCTCTGAAGCAGCGCGTGACGTGCTGTTGCAGTTGTTGACGCACTTCGGTCGCTCGCACTAGTGCGCGATGGCTCAGCAGGAACTCGTCACACCACGAACGGCTCTGTCCATTGTCGACAAACGCGTCGTAGATCGACAGGTACGTCAGGTGGTCGCCGTCTGCGTGGGCAAAGTGCTGCATGGCCTCGACGAGTGCCTCTCGTCGCTCTTTCGAGCCATGTGCGGGCAAAAACACGTCGCCCACGGACAACACGCTCGCGATACTGAGCATCTCGCGCAGGCAGTTGAATTGACCGGACGACAAAAGCACTTTGGCGAGCGGCGGCGCCACGGGGAACTCGGCCACTTGCGTCCCAAGTGGCTCCACGAGTCGGCTGTTCGAGTCAATGACACCGAGTGCGAACAGCAACTCCAGCGCACGGATGAGCGCTTCGGGCGACGGCGGCGACACAAAGTCAAAGTGCGCGAGGTCTCGGATGCCCATGCTCAAGAGGTACAGCGCAACTGTTGCGAGATTCGTGCGCTGCATCTGCGGGATCGTCTCGTTCGCGAGCGTCGAGCGGAAGAACGCTTCTGTGCACAGTCGAAAGCACTTTCCAGCACGCGAACGACCGGCACGACCTGCTCGCTGCTTGGCCGAGGCCTTGGACACCAACGTCGTGAGCAGTGCTTCGACGCCAGTCAGCGGGTTGTAGAACGCGAGCTTTGTAAAACACGCGTCAATGACAAACACCACGCCATCGATCGTCACGGACGTCTCGGCAATAGCAGTCGCGACAATCACTTTTCGACGAACACCGCGAGGTGCTGGCAGGAATGCGTTCTGCTGCATACGTAGCGGCAACGTCCCGTACAACGGCACCGCGAGGATATGAGCTGGCGCGCGGTCGTTCAGCGCTCGAACGACAGCATCGATTTCCTCCTGACCAGGCAGAAACGCCAGCACGTCCCCTTCACCTTCGTGCTGGTCAATCGCCAACACCGTGTCAACTGTTTGTTGCAAGTAGTCTCCGCACGGGGTTTGGAGGTACTCAATGTCGACAGGATATTGACGGCCTTCAACGGACACGACCACCACATCTTTCAGACCAGCAGAGGTCGTTGCGAGCGTCGTCGAGCCATCTCGAGCCGTCGCACGCGCGTCGGGCGTCTTTGCGCGGAAAAACTTGACAAACGTATCGACTTGCAACGTCGCCGATGCAATGATCACGCGTAGTTCTGGTCGCTTTCGCCGTATCTTCTTGATCAGTCCAAGCAGCAAATCCGTCTCCAAGTTGCGTTCATGGGCTTCGTCCTACTCACATAGACACACATACACATACACATACACACACGTAGCGACCGTGTCGTCAGCAACAAGTAGCCCTGTACCATACACTATACACCTCCACGCTCCATCCTCTCCTCTCTCTTTCTCTCTCTTCTCACCAGTATCACCACTGAATACCGCGAAAGCAGCGGATCGCGCATCGTCTCTCTCAGTAGCAGTCCGTCCGTTACAAACTTGATCCGCGTGCGCTCGGCGTCCCACTTGTCCTCAAACCGGACGGCGTAGCCCACTTCTTGTCCGACTCTAGAGCCGCGTTCAGTGGCCACACGCTCGGCAATGGTCACGACTGCCACCCGTCGTGGCTGCGTACACACAATCGTCCGAGTCGTCGCCACCGACTCGTTGCCAGTCCGCGACGGTCGAGACGTCGCCCATCCCGCCTCGAGCAGATACTGCGGCACTTGCGTTGTTTTGCCAGAGCCTGTGGCGCCCACGACGATCGTCACTGCATGAGACTCCACGGCATAGAGCAGTTCCAACCGGTGGCGGGCGACCGGCAGACGCGCGCGCTGGTCCTGCAGGGACAGGCCAACCAGCGGCGTACTCTGCACAAGTGGTACCTCGACGTCTTTCGGCACGTCACGTGCGACTTCAGCTTCTGCGTCGGCCGTAGCAGCGGCACGCAGGAGCGCTGTGCCGGGGCGCCAGAATGTAGCCATGTGGCGAACGATTGACGTGGATGCGTGCGTGGGTACGCTGGACAAGAACGTAGCTCCTGGCTTTTGATTGGCTGGCACGGTTCGATTACGTGACGCACAGCAAAATTGGAGGGGATGGGACCGGTCCGATGGTGCGTCGAACCGGTTCAGGCGCGACCGAAGCGGTCTATTGGATGGCTGCGACTTCACGCGAGACGGCCAGCAGGTCTTTTATTGAGAAACAGGGAGCGTTGTCGCAAGCACCAAGTCACCATGGTAAGCACGTGCATTGATTGACGAATGGGTAGGTCATCGATCGATCGATAGATAGATCGATGGATGGATGAATGAATGAACGGATCATGTGGGCCAGCGTCTGATTGCAATGTGGTGCAAGTGTGGCAATATATGTCGGGAGTAAAATGTGGAGGAAGTGTGGTGGAGGTGGTGCACCTGTTGTTGTAACCGTACTAGTGACTTGTCCAGCGGTCTATGCGATGTCTGACAATGGACATCGATCGGTTGTGTGCAAGAAGTTTTGGTCCGCATGAGCTCAATAACTAGAGAAGTACTTGTAGCGTTGCAGGTTGACGTCAGGGGCTATAGAGACGCTACAGTCTTTGTAGCGAGACGAAGTTACGTGGATGCTGACGTTCTTGTTCTCTTGATCCTGACTTGATGTAGCCGCCGAAAACGCAACAGAAGACCAAGGAGCAGAAGATGGCCGCCGCCATGGCCGGTGGCAAAGGCAAGGGCAAGAAGAAATGGTCCAAGGGTAAAGTGCGTGAGAAAGTAGCGAACAAAGTGCTGTACGACCAAGAGGCGTACGAGCGTTTGCTAGTGGAAGTGCCCAAGATGAAGTTGATTACCGCTTCTGCGATTGTCGAGCGTCTCAAGGTGAACGCGGCGCTCGCTCGCGCTTCGATCCACGAGCTGGAGGAGAACGGCAGCATCTCGAAGGTGCTGGGCCACCACGCGCAGCTCATCTACACTCGCGCTGTGGCTGTCGAGGAGTAAACAGTTGATAAAACGTGATGCTGTGCGCCAGCTGCCCTGAGCTTCGGTCGTTGTCTCGTGTCTTGCATTGAGAATCATGAGGGGAGTCGTTGACGGCTCGACGAGCACTGCTTGATGGTGACAGAGCGATCGATATGGTCACAGTGTGCGTTGGTGGTGAACAGTTGGCGCCGTTTGCAGCAAAAGAGTGACAATTGGTTCTCTGCTCGTCTGGACGGATATGCAGCGTCGACGTGTGTAACGAAAACACGCCCCTCCCTGTTGAACTACGCTTTCGCTGTTGCATCTCCATTTGGCATTGAGCTGCAGTGCACCTGCTCTCTTCCTTCTACTCGCTGAAGAGATTGGCAAACGCGTTTTGCTGCTTCTTGCAGAACTGTGTCTTTGCGTGTCGCGCTCGAGCGAATGCAGCTCGGAATAAGTTGTTGGCTGGGTCGAGCTCGAGCAGCTTCGTGAGGTCTGCTAGTGCCAAGTCAAACGCTTTTGACTGGACGCACGCCTGGCTTCGGCGGTAGCGAGCTTTTACGTGTGCGTCATCGATGGCCAGTGCACTTGACGCTGCAGTGATACAGCGGTCAACGTCTTTGTCACCGTTAATCTTGGAATAGCTCGTTGCCATGTTGGCATAGCACGCGATAGCCACATGGTTGACTTGTTGGAGCTCCTCGAGCGAGTACTGTCCCTTGGTAGGTAGAGTCGTCTCCGACCAAGCAGCTGGTGGCTCGAGCCATGCCAACGCTCGCGTGTACAGCTGCACCGCCAAGCAGTAGCTCTCTCGTTTGAACGCCTCGTTCCCACGTCTTCGGTACTCTTCTGCCCGCTGTAGTTTCCACGAGAACCAGTCGTTCTCCTGTCGGCGGTCCTCTGTCTTGGCAGCCCCAGCGCCACAGCGCGAGATCGGGTTCAGCTGCAACTTGCAATACAGCAGGGCCTTGTCTTCGCTTAGTCCTCGCTCTGCAGCAGCTTCAGCACTTAAGCTCAGGCTTTTCACAGCCACGGGAAAGACCTCGACCTCGTCCATTGGTCTGGTCGTTAGTGGTGTACGCTGTTGCGGATCACAAAGACGGGAGCGTCGGTCCAAGAGGTCCCACACGTGACTCTGAACTTCTGGAACGAGTTGCAGTCCCGTCGTTTGCAGCGTCGCGAGCGAATGATCCGAAGAACTGTTTGGTGCGTATTCACTCGTTCGACGTCGTGTCGGTCGTTGCACGAGCGACAGATCGAAACGTCCGTGGAACACTGCAGCAGTTGCCGAGCACGAAGCGTCTCGGTAGAGCCACCAGGAGATACTATCAGTTCTAGGGAATGCCATTGTGACAAGTTGGGAAGGATTACGGATGTGGGATAGAGGAGTTGACAGGGTCACTCGTAAAGTGGCTCATCTGTATTGCGAAGAGCTACACGAACATAAGCGCCACACCAGAGCTGCTGGACTCTTATGGATACAGATCGATGGTGGATGCAAAGACTGATGTAGGGATACATTGATACATTGATACATTGATGCATACAGTGCTAACGTCTGGACGCAATGTGAAATACAGCGATACTACATACTGCGATGATGGAAGGAAAGAGAAAAGCTGTACGCTGATTGTTGCATACCGATGCAAAGGACAGCTAAGTGCTCAGTCTTTGTCGCATAAAGCGCGTAAAAGCGGTAGCCTTTCGTGCAGCGGTTGAGCGCATGATGTAACATAGCTCTGCATAAGTGCTCACTGCTTGAGGTGATGCAACGTGACACGTCGAGGTATCCGGTGCTACCCGCCAGAGCATACGTAGACATAAGTAGACAGCAATCATCTCGTTCGTGTCACTTCAGTATTGTTCAGGGCCATGTCATGCGCCAAGTGATAAAGCTGAATTTCACATTAGCCGTCGCGTTGCAATACGCATGTGGTCATTGCAACACGTGGTGCTGTTTCTTCGGAATCAGACGGCAGATGTACGCCCCCCGCAATGCTTTGCTGCAGAAGGAGTCGCATTCCTCGCTATCTTCGCTTGTAGCTGACAGAAATGAGTCCGCCTCGTTCTCGATATGCGATACCGTCCCATGGATAGCCATTGGTCGCTCTGTTATTCCGGCCTAATGTCCATGTGAACTTTGTGGACGTCGCAACGGACGCGATCGTAAGATAGTGCTGGACAATAAGCCTGATCTCGTCGCCAGACGCTTCCAAAGCTACTACCGCTTCGAGAATCGCTACAAAATCCTGTCGCCAGGTGCCGTAAAGGGTACCAGACTTGCTGAGTTGAGATAACGCTGCACTGCTCTGCAGTGACCGCGAACTCAAGATGTGGGCAATAATTGAAGCAAGACCTGCATAATCATGCCAGCACTTATAGCATGCAAACACTTGCTCGTGCGACGTCGCTGCTTCGCTCTGACTATAAGCGTCATAAAGGTCACGCAGTTCAATAAATATGGAGCAGAAGGCAAAAGGGCTATCTAACCCTAGCTTTATCTAACGAATGCACTGATCGGCTGCGTCCGATGTTGGGCAGAGATAAGCATGAGGCTTGTAGGTAGATAAACAGCCATACGTACACCCTGCGATGCTTCGTAGCCACATCACAAGGAAGTATCTGATCTTATGCGCATGTCACTCGCCACCTTTCGCGGTTATAGCTGCAACAGCTAGTTCTGTGGAGCGCATTTTAGTGTGACCGTGCAGCATTCGCACGCATCTCGACTCGGAAATGGACTTTCGTCGGGAGTAAAGACAGGCACCAGATCGAAACCTTGCAGCCAACTCTGACATGCTTAGCTACATACATTAACAGTTTTGTACATATCCAAGATAACGGGGACGACCGGCGCTTCAACCCGAGGAATGCTTTACGGTGATCAATACATACCAAGGCTTTGTTTGTACAAAACATTATCGTATATGGATAACCCCGATATCATCCGACACACCGTGTCACCTCCTCTTTCGCGTTGCGTGATCCGACAGCTCGTCTGGTTGTGCTAATGTATCGAGTCGAACATAGCCTTCTGTACACCGATGCAAAGAAGGAAATGGTGATCTAGTGCTTATTCAATGATTGATACAGTCATCTGAGACCACGTCTTGTCCCGCACACGGCCGCATGGTGCGGTGTTTGCATCTACACCACAAGCGCTTTATATTCTGCGACATCTTTTCCAGGATGTCTTGAGCCAGTGGCTTGCGTAGCCGACCTTACTAATGAGACAGGGTGACAGTCACCGAAGCGTAGTCATCAATGATCAGCTGACTCACAAGCCAGCCATTTCATGCAAAGCAGTTCATTAAGAAAGGCCATTGGTTACAGATAGAAAAATTCCCTCATTGAATAGCAATACTACAGATGGACAAGTTTTATCTCCGAGCAACAATACTAGATCCTTCAGATGTTGTTACCCATTAGGTGACGTGACCTTTTCTGTCAATGTCTAACGCCGGCACAAAGCAAAAACTTAACCCGACGCTTCTAATATTGCTTACAAAACACAATTTGAGCTCGATCGTTTCCGGGTACCTACCCATATAAAACAGACGCTACGATGCTCTGCTCACGTAAACTCGTGCGGGCCGTTAGTTAACGTGAGCAGAGAATCGATCATTGATGATCTACCTCAGGCACACACCTAAGCTTAGCTTCATGCATTACCTACCAATGGTAGTACTACTACTGGTATCGCCCGCTCATTAAATGAGCTTTATAACAAGATACGGCTGACATCACAACAGTTGTTGGTCATATCTTCATTTACGAAGGATTACTTTCGTGATACTTCTTTGTTGCAACACCGCTACCCCGTCAAAATCACTGCTCAAGAACCACAACCGCTTGGCCCATCGCTGCACTCACAAGTGCGTTCCTTCCATAACGGTGTCCATCCTTCGATCTTTTTTACGGCGCAATTTACGGGGTTGGCGCAGTCGACACTTGCTCTTGTTGTTGTTGTTGTTGTTGTTGCTGTTGCTGTGGCTGCTGCTTCAGCTCGCCGCTTTGGCGAGGCTCACCCGATTCCGTCAACTCCTTGCTCTTCTTTTCCTGGGCCTTGCCAAACGCCGTGCGGCTCCATAAACTCTCAAAATCATCGGGCGTTCCCTGCGAGCATATCGTCTTATGTTCGCCCTCGTCCTTGGCATTCTGACGGCTCCATACCGTCTTCAGGCGCTTGCCCGCCACCTCACGTTCGTGTTCTGCTTTCAGGCGTCCCGTTGAGTCTTCATAGCGGCGACGCGTACTCACAACTTTATTTCCCCCATCATCCACAACAGACGAGCTGCTGAACGAGTAAGACGTGAACGCACTCTGGTTCTCCGACTCAGGGGTCTGTTCCAACTTCTCATCTTTTTGCTCAGACTGATTCGTCGTGGGCAGATCCTTGAAAAAATCATCGTCAGTGCTGACGTCGGGCACATACCGCATGCCCATCGTGTATTGCGGCATCGTATTGAGGTCCATCAAAGACAGCTCCAACATCGACATTGGGTGCCAAAAGGTTGGGCGTACTAGATCCCACGAAGAAAACATCTTGCTCACTTGCTTTTCGACTTGACTTCCTCACAGACAATCCACAACTGAGCTGCTCGTTGATGCAGAATCCGTCCTTCGATCGGTAGCGCAATGCAGTTATACGACAACGGGAAGCCAAGCGACGGGGTGTCGATCGGGATGCACCCAACGTCAGCGACAGGAAGATACCAATGAGCCCGTGACTAAGTGAAGCTGCCAACGGTAGCATCGAAGTGCTGCGAAGTGGCACATTGAAGTGGTCGTCATCTTCAACTGATTAGATGGTCGGTTGCTACACTGTCGTATATACCCGGCCATACATGAAAGAAAGCCTATCACCGCCGTTGCTCCCCTATACATGCAACCGTTAGGCTGTGCAGCCTTTTTTGTGCGGCGGCATTTCCATTATAACACGTGTGTTGTTCTAGACTGTTCATGTCACGAGCGCTGCGATACTTTACATGTATCTACCTGTCCCTGCTTGATGCTACGGGTGCCTCGTGTCACGTCATCTCGGCCGGCAAAGCAAGATATACAATCACATCCGTCTAGTGGTCTACCTTTTCTCTCAGTTCGATCGAATGTTCTCCGACATTACTCGACCTACATACCGAGGACTTCTTGCCCCACTGCTGCTGATCAGACGTTGGCAGTCGATAACTGCGGCATTTGCTACTCATGTCGAAAACAATCGGAAGCGTCTACAAATTGCGCGTCCTTCAGTACTACACAGGTGGGCTGCGATTGCCCGTCGAGTACGACAAAACATCCTGATACCATGGCAGAGTATAGTGAGCTCTTCGGTACCACGATGGTTCTCATTTCGTGCTTTAAGGGCTAAGCACTGTGCAGACTATATCTCTCGTAGCGAATTGATTACGTCTCGTATCTGTAGCTTGGTCTGCGTACGGGTGCCGTTTTTTCTAGGTAAGCTGCTTTAATTTTTATCGAGGAAGCTTAAAGTCCACGAGATGTTGATATCAGACTAATATCGAAAGAATGCGATGGAAAGAATCCCGGTAAGTGATCAACAATGACAAACAGACTCACGTGCCATTATCTCGCCCGTTTCTGGCAGCAAAGTCTCTGTGTCCTGTACACGCAATCACCATAGAAACTGCTGCTGCGCAATACGTTTGCCCTTGTACATAATGGGCGACGGTGTGATCGTACACAACGCAAAAGATTAATGGTGTACTACGAAGCGTTCATTTACCAACTTGCAATGACATGCAAGATCACAAAAAAATTGCGAGAGGGTTGCGAAAGGTGGTATGCAAGCTTTTTTATACTTGCTTTGTGTTTTGTAGGAGCGTCTAAATGCGTGCATGTGTCTGTAAGTCACGCAGAGACACATCACAAGACAAACAGCGGAGAAGCACTGAAAGCGCAACATAGGCATCAGTGATCTTTTCACCTATAGTACCTAAGCATTTATAATAAGGCGAAAGTTAACGGTATTTCACTTTGCTCGAAGTAGGAGGAGCTCAGATATATTTCTCGCTCAAGTGATTGATTCCGAATAGTCAGTCGCGTTTGTCCTTCCTACACATGCAAGAGCAGCCGTCGTCTTCCCTTTCTTCACCCTTCTCGTAACGCCTCAACAACGTGATTGAGTTGCGTCATCGCACACATACTGCGATAACTATAATAAGTTGTACACCTCACCACGCCTCCACTCACTCATTCCCCCAGCCTTCATTTTTAATGTTCCAAAACTAGCACTATGCACAAAAACGCCAAACCCCCCACCGTCACTTACCCTGATTCAATAACTTACACCGAAGCGCGCGCTCGAGCGCCGGCTCCTCTATCTTTATATCTCGACTCGTAATTTACACGCACCTGATTCGAGCAAGATCTGAGACGCTGCCCCGGCCACGTCGACGAAAAAACCTCGATAGATCTCCCTCATCCCTCCCCTCGTCCAGCAGCTCCTCGACCCATTTCCAGCATGACGTCTGCCCAACCGGAATCGGTCATTGAGCTCCGCCATTTGTCTGGAGCTCGCGCGGAGATCAATGTATACGGAGCCACTGTCACCTCTTTCTACGCGGCAACCGAACCCGATCGGAACGTGCTCTTCGTGTCGAAACTCGCGCGACTCGATGGCAGTAAACCTATTCGGGGCGGTATTCCCCCTCGTGTTCCCCGTGTTCGGCGCGGCCGATGGGATGCCGAATCACGGCTTTGCCCGTAATTGTAAGTGGCAAGTGATGCACGTTGAGCAAAGTGAGACGGACGGTGAACGGCCCTGTACCGCGACGTTTGTGCTCGAAAGTTCGGACGAGACAAAAAAGATGTACCCCTACGATGTCACGCTCGTGTACAAAGTGCAGCTCTTGGCCACTGAGCTCGTCACGGCGCTATCAGTGCAGAACAGGTCGGCGCACGAGATTGCGTTCCACGCGCTCTTGCACACGTACTTAGCGGTCGACGACGTGCGCTGTGGACGCGTGAGGGTCGAGCGACTCGGTGGCGTTCGATATTTCGACAAGGTCCGACCTGCTGACGATGGAAACAAAGTGGAGCAGACCGACGCGCTGACCATTGATCAGGAAACCGACCGGATCTATGCTGACGCACCATCGTCGATTGTTGTCCGGATGCAACGAGGGGGCGACACGAGCCAACAAGTCGTTACGATTGACAAGATGGCGTGTCTCAGCAAGTCGTCAACGCCAACCGACGCGGTGGCTCAGAAGTCGGACGTGGTGGTGTGGAACCCGTGGGTGGACAAGGCCAAGAGCATGAGCGACTTTGGCGATGACGAGTACGTGACGATGCTCTGCGTCGAGCCTGGCCGCGTGAGCGAGCAGCAACCGCTCGCAGCTGGGTACACGTACACGCTACAGCAAAAGATTCGACTTTCGGCCTTGTAGTCGATCGTCATAGGCCATGATGGGATGACATGAGACGGTGTGTGGAGACGCAGGAAAGAGATTGCACGCAACTCGAAAGCGGACTCATCGAATTGCACTTGCTGCTTTGTCTGTTGTTTTGCAGGTGCAGCGCCTTTGTTGCAATGTTTGTGTCTATTTGTCACTTCCTTCTGTTCACAAGCATATGGTGGACTTCGCCTTTGATCGCGCACTGCACCTCTTTGTTATAGCTGTGCTCTTCAGTCGCTGAATATCTAACATACATGTATGGAAACGAGAAACTGTGCGTCGTCGATGCGTAGGAAACCTTCATGCGGGTATGGATTTCCATAATTGTAACGGCAGGCGCCCGTTACATAAAAATTGGTACGAAAGTACAAATTTTTAAAAAATTATCTATTTTGATGATATTCAATCAACATCACTCGAGAAAAGTGATGTTGTCGGAATTTTACCTCTATGGGGTAATATCCGTGGAGGGGTCCACTTGTTGGTTGATGTACACGGCACATCAACCAATTTAACCACCAATCGCTGCTGGACACACGCAATGGGTGGTGGACAGACGACCTACATAGGAGAGAGTAGTTTAATAATGTTAGTTTAAGACGAACGATGATTTAGCAAGAAACATAACTATATTAAATAACAGTTCCACTTTTCCCTTAAGACAGAGCTATTGGGTTCTGTATTGTCTTGGTCGCGCTTCCTCACGCCACGTGTACGTGACGTCACGCGTACGCACCCTTGTATTGCTATAAATACAAGGCCTTGCTCAGTCATCTGAGCAAGAGCGTGCCCCGTTACAAAATTACAATGCTTGCGCTACTTTCCTGTGGGTAACCTGCGCAATTGTCTCCGAGTCTCCTTCGGTATGAAAACAATGCGTCGTATACTACAGGCAGATGTGAGCTCGCAAACACGCAAGCTTAACCTATTTCACATAGTCTCGACGGCTGAGACCCACTCGATGGGTGTCGGGTTCGTTTTTGTGTTTATTTAAATCATAAGCGCTGTCATCTACACGATGTAATCAATTGTGACAAGCGTGAACGGTTGCAACATTTGTGACGCATTCTGTCTTTCTAAAATTTATGAAGAAATGCAAAGGAAAAAGGATAGATCTTCGATCACTGGGGAGACGTGAAAAAATGGTGAGCAGGAGCTGGTGGCCAAGCTGAACACCTTTGTGCTCGGGATCTCCGTCGATTTAAGGCTACTGGATTTCATCCTAGAGAGTTTGAGAACGTTTAGTCGAAACTGACCAAGACAAGGTTCTTGACAGCTGTTCGAAAGCAGAGAAGGACGAGACAGGTACTATAATCATTTGAATGTGGCATTCGTAGCAGTACGGTTCACAATGATTGAACAGATCAACGTCATACGTGGTGATTGGGCCCTGTTCATGCTATCTCAGGATAGTATCAGGTTACTTATAAAGTTCTCTAAAACGCTTGACAAGGTTCTTGCAACGCAGGCAACACTCAATCCACTGTTGAATTGTAGTGAAAGGAATCCCAACTTGTCAAACAAACAAACCATCAATGACGACAGTTCCTGATATAACTCTTGAATTGCTGCAACGAGTCGATTAGAAAGACCGATATAAAGTTCACCTATTGATTATATCCTTAACTTGTAGCCCTGTGGTAAAGCTGCACTTGATAGATGACAATCTGACAACTAACCTAGGTCAAAACAATACGATGAGTAACGTATCGTAAGAGCAGTGCGTCTACTGCTTATGCTTACATGTATCACTTCGTCGTTGCACCTGCTGTGTACTTCTGAGAAACTAAAAAACAAGCGATAGGTCTACCACGTATATCGTAATTGTATCCGAACCCGTGGCATTAAGAAGGTGACGGTCCTGCTGTATGGCGAACATAGCGCGACTGCTAGCGGTAGACCACCTGATGAAACGCTGACACGAAGTGACCCCTAGCAATACATGCCTACGACAGAAATTCCGACAGAGACGTCGTCGCTTCTATAGTTCACGTCTTTTCACTCAATACACACAACTAAGCAACAACAACTCGTTGCATCATACATCATTGTAAATTTTGTGCGAATAGGTCTTCACAGCATACTATGGCTATCTTTTTAGCAACGATTTACTCGGTTGCACACCGCATGCCGAGGTAAATCTTCGATTAAATAAGCCTGTAACAACATACCGTCAATCTGATGAACGACAGATTTCAGACCAGTAGGTTGGAGTTGTTACTGGAGCCTTTGACCTTTGCCTTGTTTAGTGCACTGCTTGGTGAAATCAGAGAGATAATGACATTTCTCTACAGCTCCTGCTATTCCAACAGGAGGCGAAACTGGATTCGATCTGCTTACATGTAATGTGTCGCAGAGGCCCGAGACAAAGACAGCCTTGGAGCCAATGCTGTCCACAACAGCTAATGTAGAGTTTCACGCGTCGGGCCGAATGCATTTGCTCTACGTACCACAAGAAAGCAATTTCTGAATTGGTGGTAGTACATTCTGAGCTTCCGCAAGTCCTACGACAATATCGGACGTTTGTAGATAGACGACAAGGAAAGAAGGTGTACTTTCAATTGTATACTGAGCGCGTTATTAGATAGCGTAAGCTGCCTTGTAACGGGGTTGCACCACACGTGTGACATACACAACATATGTGGGTGACATAACATGTGTGAGTTACACAAGGGACGAAGTCCTATTAAAGATAATATTAGAACACCATATCAATGGTCGAAGGCTGACGCGTGTCAGCCACCGAATTAGGGTATCCTTTTAGTGGTAATAATTAAAACATTAGTTTTTTTTAGATATAGTACGTTTGTTTATGTATTCCTTCAGATGAAAGAAATAGAATTCAGCTCCTTTTTTAATTACTTAAGACACGTGCCTCACGAGGCGTCTTTGGTCGTTAAGAGTATAGCAACGCCTGTGAAGGTAGCTACTCTTGAACACTCTGTGCTGGAATTCTCTTGACTCCTTAGTTTCCTCGAACAGGGACCATAAGCCCTAGAAGCTTGTTGGCTCTCTGAGTCGGATTCTCTGAACAAAAATTGCTCGTTGAGCGTCAAGTCTTCGCCTGACTTAAGGAGCTGTGTAGCTCCGCTACACTTGTTAGCACTTGTAGTCAATCTACGCCTGGTTCGGTAGCGACTGATCCTCTGTGTGGATAAAGCAATCCAAACCTCTCACTAAGGCCGAAAAGGTCGCGCTTAATTAAGCTGACCGCGGCCATAGACCCTGAGCCTGTAGGTCGTTTAGCTGCGCAAGGTACTGATCTGCTAAACGCACGCGTCGAGACCTTCATGCAGTATGGCGCGGCCCTTTTAGGGAAGGTTCAAAACCAGGTAGCGTCGGCTATGCCGAAACGCTACGTGGCAATGCCAGATGAAGAGGCTAAGCCTCGTCCACTTCGTGTGGACGCCAAACATTGCTCCGAATAGGAGGGGGAATACCTCACCCTCTGGATCCGTGAGATTGAGATGGCTATGAGATCTGGTCGTGTGTCACTTGAGCAACAACGAGTATCGCTTGCTATCTTCAATCCCGATCGGAAAGGTAAAGAGGAGGCTCTAACGTGCTACACGTCTGTCGACTTGGCGTTTACCACTTGGGATTTGATCAAATTAGACCTTTTGCGAGTTTTCTAGCATCCAACCAGGCTTTCCGCGTGCGCTCACGCTTCTCATCTACCCGTAAGGGTAAGAATGAGTCAATGGAATATGTCCGAGAGTTAAGAACTATTATGGCTGATATGCAGTCCGATTCTCTACCTGAGACAGTCTACGTGGTTGTCTTCTTTAGAGTTCTTCGCACTGGCATGGCCAGGACCGATGTGTTTCGGATCCATAATTCTACTTCAAAGAAGACGTTATCATCGCTAAAATGCTAAGCACAAATTCAAGTCGGCCAGACTTGGTTGGAATGGGTACAGCCCAAGCTTTGTGAGGGCAACCTCCACAAACACCTCGGCTTACTGTAAGCCAGGACCGATTGATCTCAGCAGCTTCATATTGGAGAGCAACAACAAGAAGTGAGAATTTGTTATACGTGTAGAAGCACCTAAAACTTGCGTATCTTTTTTGCTTTGCGTAAGCAACGACAGACTTCTATAATTCGAAAACGCAGCCCCAACCAGAAATATGGTATGCGTGGTATAGTAGTATGTTGATTCTGTAGTACAACAGCCTCAACGTACAAACACAACAATCGCCGAGTTAAGTCGGCGACACGGGCTGGTACGATACGATAAATCCCTACGTGGTTCGCCCCTTCGGGGTTCAGTTGTGGCTCTCTCCTAACCAATTCCTTACAATAAAATCCTCCAGAGGCCTGCCTGATCTCAGCATCCTCTATACCTCTCCCTTTCTGTGACTTCACACCAAAGGATGGAAGCCGACGCTTACGCATTTTGACAGGACACCAGGCGCAGTGTACGCCCGGCGAGAAGATTTGAGGTGCTCTCGGCGAAGGCCCGCCGGCTTGTCGTTCGACAATACTTTCAGCGGTGACGTCTATTGGGTCACCGGCTTGTTACTTGACAAGACTCACAGCGGTTCCTTCAATAGATTTACCGGCTCGTCGACGAAGAGACTCCTTCTTTCGCTAGTAGCGAGCGCTGCCCAACCCGGTCATTTCTAAACTATTGGCGCTACAAGTCGATACCTCTAAAAGATATGCCTCTCGCGGTTCGACAACAGGCATAATCTAGCCCACGCAGAGACTTACGCTAAGTGTACGCGTGTCTTGGACTTTTAAATTCTGCACTGTATCAATTTAACTCTTTTCCTATCGCTGAACCATTGAGTAGTTATCTGTTTTTTTACTCTTCCCTTATACGTATTCTAATTGTAATGGATGTTCGTCGATCTTTTTTGCGCTCTGCACTACGATCTTTCGTCGACGACCTTGTGTTCGACGACCTCCGCTTCGACAACCTCGACTTCGACGACTTCCACTTTGAAGACACCTCATTAAACGACCTCCAGTTCGACGACCTCTCATTC